GTTTGACTATGATCGGCATTTTTCTTTGCACCTATTTGGGGCCGCAAAGCATTTCAACTCGGCTTGATGATTGATTCTTAAGTGAATCGTAAAAAGATGCTTTTTGGGGTTTCTTACGAAAAAATATGCTTTATAGAAGCCGAGTTTCTGTTCATTCGTAGCATATATTTGCTTTTTAGCACAAGGAGCAAGCGAAGCCACCTGCCGGAATTGGAGCACAGAGTTATTTTTATATTGCGCAACACTATAAATGGGCACTCAATAAAGTTTTCTTCGAAATGCACTACAAGACGGTAATTATCACTGAAGGTTCGTACAACATTTTATGAAAATTCATTATTTTTGCTTAGGGATAATTTTTATGTGTTTTGTGCTGTGTAATAGTAGCACAAAACGCATATTGTCACGGAGTTGTCTGTGTGTGTTTGTGTGCATATGTGTATGTGTGTGCGTGTGTGTGTGTGTGTGTGTGTGTGTGTGTCCGCTGCAACTTGTCCGCAACTTTCAATTTGGGAACCACAATTGTTAGGAAGTTAAAAATTCAGGGGAATATTCACCACCCATGTGTGATCCCGCAAATTTAAATTCAGCCTTCTCTTACCCGCGGGTAACAGGTACGTCCCCGCCCACAGGAACCACGGAAGTTAGAAGGTTGAGAATTTGTGGGCATATCGTCTGCCCACTTGTGACTCAGAAATTTTAAATTAAGCCTTCTCATGCCCGCGGGTAACATATGCGGCCCGGTGAAACTTTTGGCGGTAAATTATTATCTCGGGAACTATGGAATCTAGGAAGCTGAAATTTGGGAGATGTGTACCCTGTCCACGTACGACCTCTCAAATTTATACTCAGCCTTTCGTGTCTGTGGGTATCAAGTGCGGTCCTGCGAACTTATGGCGGGTAAATTATTATGGAATCTAGGAAGCTGAAATTTTAGGGGTCGTTAGCAGGCAATCGTTCGGTGGACGGAATTGCACAAAACTCATGGCCGCACTGGCTGTTCTGGTGCGCGTCGCTTTTTTGTTATCTTTTATATCATTTTTAATGAATTGATAGAACATTTCATAAAATTATAGTGTGGCGCTACCTAATTTAAAGCTCGAGCCGTTTGAAATCACTGTTGGAAAAACTAGTACCTTTATGATTCAGAGATTGTTCTAGTGGAAGGACAGTGAAATGCCACATATGCTAGAGAGTCAAACCGCCTTTAGTTTGCGTCTCAAACAGCCCACTATAAAAGTGGTCATCGAAAGCATTACTGATGAAATGATACAGCGGTATCACCGAGCCATTTCTAATGATTTTTGGTTTTTTTTTGACTTAGTGGGGGTACAAGGGGAGGGGGGCATGCAGTCCAGGAGTGATAGGCCTAAAATATCTGTTCCGAGAATGTGAAGCAATCCAGCAACAAGTTTCAGTCTTTAATATTTTGTATTATTTTTCATTTAGCTGATGATATTTGCTCCTTGAATATTGTTCAAAGTTCTGCTTAAACTTAGTTCGTTCTATTCTTGCCCTGTTTAAGTTCTTCATATTAAAGGTTAAAAAAGGGAAATATTAGGAGACAAAGGAAATAAGGAAGAATAGGAAAAAGATATTATAATAAGTAAAGGGTATAAAAAAATATTTGTTATAGGTAAGAAATGTTTCGGTCCATTA